GCTGTCCCCAAGTCCCCTGGGTGTCTGTTAGAAGGATGGGCGGAGGTGATGGGAGGGTTAGTCTGGTTAGGTACTAAGCTTAGAATCTTTTTGCTCTGGTTTCCTTATCTTAAATTTTCAAGAAACATTCCTTTCTCTTACCTCCAATTAGTTCCATCAGACAATGACGAAGAAAGTAAAACATTGAAATAATAATATGTAAGTGCATTTTTTCTATGCAGGCATTATTCTAATGATCATGCATTTTTAAAAAGTTTTAAGAAATCATTACCCATACACAATTTCATCCCCTCAAAAAATTAGTGCAGGTCATATTCTCTTTATATGTACAGGTGAAGATCTACAAGGCCCTCCACCACATTTATATCCATACTGACAAACAAGTCAAATTAATGGCCCTTTGCAAAAAGATCTATACTACACTATTTCAAGATAACTGAAATATGAAAAAGTAAAATAGAAATCAAACTCAGCAATGCACCAATTTTCACAAATAAAGAAAGAACTGCCCTTACCACATACAAGTCAATACAAGTTCACTTGAACATTCTCAACTGATTTGTCCTATTAATGTTAATGTTAAATGCATTGCCTATATCATGACTGATGATCATAGTAAACACTTTACTATTCAATATAAGAGAACCAATAAACCATGTAGGTACAAGAAGCAAAGAAGTAGTTTTGATGCACTGCATTTTTTATAGTTTATAATTCATAAAAATTCTTTGTGATGTGCTCATTTTACTACACATATCTGTCATGCCTCATGCACACAGGACAAAAATCAGCATAAAGCACTTTCAGAAGCTTGCTTTTTTCATCTCCCTATATGCACATATACAAACAAGACAACAACAGGGAGGGGGAAGCATAAAAGCTATAAAAGAGAACTTTCCATAATATTAATCTCCCAGTGGACAAAAATCCACCAGGTAAGTCCTCCCTTTCAAAGTTAAAAATAAAAATTACTTGAATATAGAGTAGTCACTCAAGCATTTTTTCAACAACAGATTGGTAGTAACATCTAACTTTTTCACTTCCCCTTGCCTACAAGTGGGCATAATCCTCTTCTTGCAGCAACTGGGTAAAACAGAATATGATCATTCAGAATTGGTGACTGGGATAAGGCAAAAGAAATTCTATAGTCTGCTAAGAAATACCTATTCAATTTCAAATACGACTAATCTCATACATTTCAATCAATATTTCTAAAAAATATGGTAATTTATATTCTCATATTATCCAAGTGTGCTTATCCTTTCAACACAAAATTTTATTTGATGGTGGCCATGTACACATAGTCCAAAGTAACTGAGTAAGAACCGTATTGTATCTTGAACATAGGGCAGCACAATAGTGCTCATTTAGAAGGTAATGGAATTTTGAAAGCTGAGATTTCAAGACAGTTCTGTTCACCCATGTGACCAGAAAGGTTGGATATTATCACAAACTGATTGTTGATAAAAATGCTTGTATGACTGCAGCTTTACTTATCCACATCCTTACCTCTGCCTCATTTTCCAATTTCCTCCATGGTGACTTCCCCTTGGAGAGGATTTTACGTAGTGACGAGGGTGTCAAACCTCTCTTCCCTCTTGGTGTCATGCCTTTTTTACTTAGGACAGAGACATTGGCTGGAGACCTTCCTGAATGGTTGGACCTACCACCTGGGGTTCGGGTAGATACAGTGGAACTGGAGCCAGGTGACTGAGTGGAGCGGGCATTGGTCCTTCTTCTGGATCGTGTGGACACAGGAGAACCATCTGAATAAGTGGACTTAGGGCTCACCTGGAAGGCAAAGAGGTCATAGTATATTTTGTAATATCCATAGGGTATGATGTACCTTACCATCTATTTTCTCTCTAAAAAGAGTTATAGAAAGTCATCTCATCTCTTTGTAGAACTAAAATAACCATGTTTATAAATAATAAAGTTATGCACCAATATGAACTAGAAACTATGTAATTTAATTTTTTTCTAATAAAAGTGACCATAATACCTACAAAAACAATCTGCTTACCTTGCTCCGTCGACTTCCTACAGATACAGGGGAACTGTTCTCAGCTCGATTTTCTTTGTCTGCTCGGCTCAAACTCTTTCTCCCAGGAGTTGGTGGTCCAGGTCTTGAGTAGGATGTCTGTAAAGAGGGTTATGGAAAGATATGCAATTTGAATGGCATGGTACAACAATGCTTTGAATCTCTTTCAACATCAATGGTAAAAACATGCAGAAGATCTTAAACTAACCTAAGAGTAACCTCTTGTTACAGTTTCACATATTTATCAGTATGATACACATATTCACTTGCAATAGTTGCCATTGAATCCTCAGTTTTAACTTTTACTTTTTTTTTTCTTTCTTTCTAATGCAGACCTTGACATTACCTTAGCAGGAAAAAAAATGGTCAAGGTAAGAGGACCACTTTAATAACAGTATTTTGTATGTACATTTATAAATATCTATAATACATATAAAACAACATTAAGTGATGACTGGTAACTAATAACCAGGTGATGTAAACTAGCACAATAAACATGCTTAGAAATTACCTCAAATAAATATCAACAATATTTCAAAACCGTGAAGACTTAAAAATAACAATCCCAATCTTAAAGAAAAGCACAAGCAAAGCCTTAATGAAAACCTGGTTGCTTACAGATAATCTTTTAGAACGCTTTCCCCCAGAAGAATCTAGAGATGTTTCCGAGTGTGTAGAATCTGACAGAGACTTCCGTTTTCGGAGGTTGAAGGCTGGAGAATCAAGACCTAGGTTCTCAGTAGCCTGTGTCAGGTTCAACAGTTGTCTATCTTCTACAGCGTTGCCAGCCTGGGGAGAGGCAAAACAACTTTTGTTTGACATTTGAAATATTAGGCTTCAGCAACAAGATTATGGCAGGGTAGCAATCTCAAGATATGAAGAAACTTCCATGTCCTTTTATTCCTTTCCACTAAGTTATTACCATGAAATAATCTTAGAAACATAGCTTATCATCCCATTTTTATGACTCATTGTAACAATTTTGTTTCATGTAGTGTTCAAAAGTACATTAGTACCTGTAGCTATACTGTAAATTCAAATTCATTCAAATAATTAACAAGGACAATTTGTTAACCTTTTCATACTACAAGAAAAACAGTTTTGCTTAGAAAATTAAACTACTTATCCCTAATCCACCAAAACACTATTATACAATCCTGAACAGAAATCAAGTCTGCTTCCACCATAATCTCAATAACTTTGGTTCCAGTGCTTTATACCACTCTCCAGGCTTACTGCACTTACTGAACATAAACATGCACTTCTCTAAGCCAACAAAGGTTCACTTCTTTAGTTCATGCCTTCAATCTATAGGACCTGTGCTCTCTATTGTGGCAAAAATGTGTTCAACAGATTGGTGATGATGATTTTTTAAAATAGAGTGATGCTATTCAGACAAGTTCTATTGAGTTGAATATCACCAACCTGTAATTTTACCTCAATAGAAAAACAGGTATAATTCAGGAACATATCACTACAAACTGAATACTAGAATACAAGCAATCTATACTGTGTAGTATACCAAGGAATGTCTTGTTAATCTGATACTAGACCAAATACCATTACTGTAACTGCTGATAAATAAAGTATTAACAAATGCAAATGATATTTTAGATTTTGTAAGAGCTAAGGAACAATACTGCTAATCAAGAAATTACCAAGCAGAAATAATTTTACTGCTTATGAGACGGTCATGTTCTTATGTCTAATATTTACTGAGGAAATAAAATCTAAAATCAAAACAATCCTCAAATAAAACTCAAATAAAGCTGATAAATAAAATGCAAGAAACATACCCTTAATTTGTCATCATCAAAGTCCTGAAGTGGTCTGAACTGCATTTCAGCAGGATAAGCAGACCGCATGTGGGGTGGATATAGGGAATTCCTCCTCTGAAGTTCAGATAATCTTTTCCAGTGGGGGTCATCAAGAGTGCTGCACCGACCCACCTGTCAAGAATATTGATGATCTCACAAATAAAATCGTGTACAGTCAATTTCAAAATTTGAACTTGGAATTTTCTTCTATCTGCATTCAGTTATGTAGCTGTAATTTTCATTATGATCACATAAATCTAGACATAACTAACATACCCGAACCTCTGCAATATACTCTACTCAGTTTACCTGCATGTCAATGAGATATTTGTTGCTAAAAAGTTCTTCTTCATCCTCACAGTTGAAGAGCATGTCCCTTGGTACTGAATGCCCCAACGACTTGTCTGACATTACTTTCTCTAGGGATGGAGTGATCTTTTTCTTTCCTGTTGCAGCCACAGCTAGGTTTGCAATATCTACACTACTCTTTGGCTGTTTCTCAAGTGTTGTGTTTTGACGAGTAGGTTTCCGGAATACCTGTGGAAGTTTCATAGGGATGTATCTTTTCAATGATGGTAACAAGTGGCTACAGCTTTGGCTGTTAGAAATATTTTCTGTTAGCATTTATACTTTATAACTATAAAAGTTCTTAAAATGTTATTCTCTATCTTTTCAATTTCAAGCTTCAAAACACTCACAATCCCCCTTTCATCAAAATCTCTTAGCCTTATACATACCACATCTGATGAGACAGCCCTTATCATTACTTTTGAAGGATTTTTCGATGATTTTGGTAAAAGAAGATGATCTGAATTATTTATGCTATCCTCTTCAGTGGAAGATGATGAAGGTCTTGGCATCATGATTTCACTGAGCCGAGTCTCAGACACTGTAGCCCTTCCCAATGATCTGCCAGTAAACTGTTGAAGGAAAAGAAATGAAACCTTAGATAAAACAGCTATTTTATAATAAAATGAGCTAATTCAAAATTCAAGGATCCATCAAATCTGCACATAATGATATTTGCTTACCCCAAAGCTCTCTCTCTCCCACTGTTTCTGCATTTCTTTCATTTTGGAGTTTGCAAGTTTGATTTGTGCCTCAAGACTTCTATTTTCATTGCCAAGTCGTTTTAGTGTTAACTCAGATTCGTGCAGCTTCTCTTTTATTGGTAACTTCTGCTCTTCCAGTTCTTTTATTCTCTCAACAAGTTCTGCCTGTTTCTTCCTCTCATTCTGGAGACTCTCATTGAGTTTGCTGACATGGTCCTTGTATTTTGTCATCTAGAAGGAAATATAAAAATCCAATTTCAATGGAACCCACCTATATGGACATGACATGATTGTCTCCAACATTCCTCTGTACCCTATCTTGTTTGTCGGTCCTTAAAAAATATAATTATATAAACCACATTAAAAAAGTTACTGTAATAATAAAGCACTATAAATATTCCACCATACCCATGTACAATTTACACATCTAACTGTATCCATTTGTAGTATAAATCGGTAGGTTCATAGTTTCTGTATTTTCATTTAACAAATAATGATGCTACTGTCACTATGACCTTAACAAGTGAAACGGTTAACCTTCAGTGGCTTTAATCAAATGCTATACCTGTTTCTGATAGTGTTCTTCAGACATTTTGTTTTCATTGAGCTCTCATTCATACTCTGACAGTTTCTTCTTTGCTTGCTCATATTTATGGTGGATGATGTGCTTCTCCTTCAACACTTTCTCTTGCTCCTCAATTTGTATCATGAGCTTTTCAACCTCAGTCTTGTATGAAGCTTTCTGTTTTCAAAGAAGCAAAAGAAATGTTAACAATTACATGGTCCCTGAAAAGAAACTGCTACTATATAAAATGAAAATGAACATACTGTCCCTTGTAATTAAAAATACCAAGAACCCATTATTGCCATAAAGATGTAATGTCTACTAATTTGCTTTGTTAATGTCTTTACAATATATGGCTCTACAAATGCTCAGCCACAAAGGAGTCAGATACTATCAATACTGACACTGTTTATCATTACCTTTGACATTAAGATCATTGTTATATCAACACTACTGACAGCAATAAAAATAGAATACATTTTTGAAAATCAAGGAAAGGGGTAAACAGGTGAGACAGGTAGGACTAATTGGTTTACTGGTAACTAAGCACTTGTGGATTCAACTATGTCTAAACACTTATATATAATAAGGATGGCATATACTGTATATAAATGCTATCCCTGTTGGCAGTGGGGTAAAGCTGATGCAAGTTCAGTATCAAAACAGAAAATTTAGATCTTATCTCTTAGAATATATGAACAGCTCACCATCTTCTCGACAACTGATTGTCTCTCTGCCCGAGACTTATCCTTGGCAGCCTGTAGTTCTTCTGTTAAGCTCCTCGTTGATCTTTCACCTTCACGTTCAATTCTCATAATCTCCTCCTGATAAAACCAAAGAAAAGACTTGGTTACTGTTTCCTGATTAAACTCAATTATATATTCAAAAAGCCCATGAAAACAACACTGAACCTACCTTTGTTGCCGTGACTTCCTGTTCTTTGTCAATCAACTTTGCTTCCAAAGATAAAGCATGGGCTTTGTGCTTCTCCACTTTTTCTTTGGCCTTCTCAATCTGTCAATGACACAGACTAATGAGCAAGCTAAATTTTCAAAAATATCTAAATTAAAACAAATAATGATACTATCTAAATATATCTATTAACATTATGAGATAACATAGTATTAAACTTTACCTCTTGGGATTGTAGGTGGAGAGTGGATTCTTTGGTCTTCACTTCCTTCTCAAGCAAGGCAATTCTTGTCATCATCTGCTCTTCAAACTTTTCTTGTTCTTTGGCCTTTGCTATCTTTTCATCTTCCAAGATTTTAATCTGCATAAAAATATTACATATTAGTAAAGAATAACTAATATTTCCAATTCATGTCATATTTAATTGAGAGTTCAATAAAACATTCTGAAAAATACCAATAAGGTACCAACCTTAATTTCTAGTTCAGAGACAGCAGCATCCCTAGCAACCTTCTCACGCATTGCAATTTCTTCTTTCTCCTTTTTCTTTTGCTCTTCACTAGCTGAACGGACAAGTTCCAACTCTTGCTTCATGACTAGCATTCTCTTGGAATTCTCCTCAGATTGTGACTTCAGTTCAGCAACTCTTAAATTTTCCTTTTCCTTCAGTTCTAAGATTTCTTTCTCCATCTTGCCCTTTAGCAACTCATAAGTTGAGCTAGTCTGTTCCAGCTCTTGCTGTAGGGTCTTGAGAAGAACAGATTTTTCAGACAGCATTGTATTTAGTGATGCTATATGTTCTTTGTAATTCTGTTCTTGTTCCTCTTTTTCCTTCTTTTGGGTATCCAGGGCCATCTTTAGTGACCCCAGCTCTTCTGTAACACTTTGCTTCACTGTTAATTTCTCTTTTTCAAGGGACTCCACTTTTTTTGTTATTTCACATACAGATTCCTTGAGACTGCAGACTTCAGACTGATGTTTTTGTTGTTCCTCCTCTAACTGTGCTTGTAGTTCACATAGGGCCTTATCCTTTTCAAGGAGAGCATCTTCCAACTGCTTAATCCCCAATGTCAATTTCTCTTGCATTTCAGTAGAACCTTGTGTCTGTTGCTGCAGTGTAGACACAACCTTTTCTTTCTCACTGATCATTTCAGTCAAAGACATCTTTTCTTTGGAAAGCTCTTCAGCCAGATTTTCTTTCTCTTCTAGTAGTGTTGTTAATAGTTCATCCTTTTCCTTAATCTTTTCTTCCATTTCCTTTTTCAGTGTCAACACTGCTTGATCTGCTTCATTCTTTAATGAAGAATAAGCATCTTCTTTCTCCTGGATATTTTGCAGTAATGACCTCTTTTCTTCTTGAATTTGGTCTAATTCCTGCTTAAGAGACAAGACTTCATCTGATTTTCCTGCTAACTGAGACATCATGGCCACAGTCTTAGCACTCTCACTTTCCTTGATCTCAGATAGATTCTTCTCAAGATCACTTTTCATAGTTTCCTGTTGGGATTGAGAAATCTCAAGTTTTTCTTCTACAGCCTTTAGAACTTGACATTTCTCTTCTAACATATTGTTTAGAGCTGCAATCTGGTTCTCATTATTTTGCTTTTCCTCCTCCTTCTCCTTCCTGACTGTATCCAATACAAGTTGGACAGAACTCAACTCTTCAAGCATTCTTTGTCCTACTTCTGATTTCTCTTCTCTGAGAGACTTGATCATCACTTCATTTTCTTTAAGTGTCTGTTGTAATCCATCAATCTCTAAACTGTGTTTGTGTTGCTGTTCCTCAATTTCCTTTTGAACCTTTTCTAAAGCACTGTTCTTTTCACAAAGACTTTCTTTTAGACTCATAATCTCAGTCACTGTCTCTTCCTGTTTTTCTGTTAGATTCTGCTTGAACAACACTTCTTTTGTGGTGATCTCATTTCTTAGTACTTCTACCTCTTTCAGCAGCTCATCGTTTCTTTTCTGTTGGGTGTCATTAGCAGCAGAAGCATCTGCAAGGTCACTCTGTAGCTTTTGCATACAGGACTGATGTTCCTCTTCTGCCTTTTTCATATTCTCCTTGAGGTGGCTTATACAAGCTTCCTTTTCTTTAAGAGCTTGCATGTGTGCAGTCATCTCACTTTCCAATATTCCTTGAGTCTTTTTATTCTGCTCCTCAAGTAGATTCAGCATTCTTTGTTTATCCTCCAGTTCTTGACCCATGGTTGCCTTTTCCCTGTCAAAGACATCTGAAGCTTCTAGCATTTTCTGCTCCACAGAAAACAGGGCTTCTTCCTTCATGCGTGACATCTCACTGTGGGCTGAAGCTTCATCCTGCAATTTCTTTTGTAGTGATGAAATCATTTCTTCCTTTAACTTTAAGTCTTCATGTAGGGATACTTTCTCTTTATTGTACACTTCAACTGCCTCTTGCATTTCTTGCTCTTTAGATTTCAGAGTTTCTTCCTTTTCTTCAATTGCTTTGGCCAAGGACATCTTTTCCTCTTGTAACTGTTGATTAGTCAGTGATAAAGCCTCTTCCTTAACTTTAATTTCTGCTTGCAAAGCCAATCTCTCTCTTTCAAAGGTCTCAATGTTAGACTGTAATTCTTGCTGTTTGGATGTTAAAGCCTCTTCTTTTTCCCCAACAACCTTATTGCTGCACACCTTTTCCTCTTCTATCTGCTGTTTAGCCAGGGTTAATGCCTCATGTTTAGCATTAATCTCAGCCTGCATAGTCTTTTTTTCTTTTTCAAAGGTATCAAGACTGTGTTGCAGTTCTTGCTGCTGTGACAATATAACTTCTTCTTTTGCCTGAATTGTGCAGTTCATCTTATCCTTTATCTCTTTAACCTGGTCTTGCAGTAATAATATCTCCTCTTCCTTTGCCTTGGCCAATTCATGTAAAGCTGCCTTTTCTTGGCCAAAGGCCTTAGCAGCCTCTTCAAGTTCCTTTTGAAGTGAACTAATATTGCCCTCCTTTTCTTGAATAATATTGCTTGCAGCCATCTTTTCTTCCTGTATTTGTTTCTGTAAGGAAGTAAGGGCATCTTCTTTTGCTTGGATAATTTCAGCCATCCTTGTTTTTTCTTCAGAAATAAGCATAAAGTTGTGTTCCTTTTCACTGAGAGCTTTCTCTTTATTGTGCAGCTCCACATCTTTCTCACTGATCAAGGATGCAGCAGCCATCTCCATTTCTTGTTTGGCTGCTGAAAAAGCAGTTTCATTTTCTTGAATCTTTGCAAGTAATAAAGATTTCTCCTCATTTGCATGTTTCACGAACTCCTCAAATTGCTTTTCATGATCTGTGATAGAAATACTTTTCTCTAGAATATCATGCTCAAGTTTCGCCTTTTCATTTTTGAGCATCAAAATTGTTTTCTCTAGCTCCTCTCTAACAGAAGCAAAAGCAAGTTCTTTTTCTTGAATTCTCTCCTCTAGGCCTGCCTTCTCACTTTTGTTTTCCTCTAATGTTGCTTCTATCTGCTGCTTCAAGGTATCAAGGGCTTCTTCTTGAGCTCTGATAATGGAAGACATGGCTGTCTTTTCTTGTTCAAACATATCACACATTTCTTGCTTTTCTTTTTCCACTGAAAAGACAGCTTCTTGCTTTGACTCAATTTCCACAGTAAGTGACTTGACTGCTGCTACCTGCTCATCTCTTTCACTGCAAATCTGCACATTCTCTGAGTGGAGTGCTTTTATCTGAAAAGGAAAAGATGACAGTTGCATCATAAGTAAATGCACTAAAGTGGATGGCATAATTCAATATATGTGCATAATAACATATAGATTACTTACAGTCAAATTTCACACTCAATAAACCCAAACACATGCATATTTACTTTATACACTTCACAGGGGTCTGCTGGGAGTACATCTTACCTTATCCTGTAAATTAGAGATTGTCTTATCAAATTCATTCTGTTGTTTCTCTGCTTCTGCTTTTAGGACATCCAAAGTTGCTGCATGTTGTGCTTCCATTTCATTTATTTGTGCACATACTTCTGCCACTTTTCCTTCATGCACCACTTTCTCAGCATTTATAGAGTCCATCTGTTCAAAAAGATTTATATTACAACATAGTTTCATTAACAAAATTAACCTTTTGTTTCATGGTACATAAAACAAGATGCAATACCACATATTTTGACTAACAAAGAACTGATGAAGAATACCTGCTTAGTGAAGTTGGCAAGCTGTTCCATTAGCTCATTTTCTTTCACACCCAAGGCACTCGTTAAAGCTGAAACCTCTTCCTCAACTTCTGAAACCTTTTTCTCAAGCAGATTCTTTTCAGTTATATGGCTTTCTTCTTTGTTATGAAGTTCTTGTTTTAACAAAGTTTTCTCTTTTGAAAGAGTTTCCCATTCAACCATTATAATGGATAAGTTGTTATTCAGTTCTTCAACCTAAAAGAAAAGATACAAAAATAAATTGAGGATATTTCAGTTAGATTATTGTGCAATCTGAGCAAATGAACAAATTGGCATCACAAAACAGCTTGTAAATTTATCAAAAGTAAGATTAATGATACTGTTAACAAGAGCATACCTTCTTCTCGTATTCTTCTGTCAGGTTAACTTTTTGCATTTGGAAATCCTCATTCAGTCTTGAAACAGTTCTAGTAAATTCTTCTTGCAGAGTACATTTGGCTTCTGTAACTGCCTTCAAACTTGCTGAAGTGCATTCCAATTCCTGGCTGGCAAGTTTAAGCTTACTTTCAACTTCTTCCAGTTCTGAACAGCGTCCAGCCAATTCCTTTATTTTTTGGTTTAGTTGTTCCTTCATTGTTAGGATAGAGAGTTGTGATTCTTGAAGATCTTTCTGCCAAAATCAGGAAAACGATAAAAGATAAATGATAATCACATACAACCAAATATCAAATTACTTGTTCTGTAAATGCTTATTAAAGGAAGGTAAAACTGAGAATGACAGACTTACCTGTAAGTCAAGTTTCTCAGTCTCTACTTGCAAGAACTTGGACTGATTTTCCTGTAGTTCATTAGATATTACCATATTTTGCTCTTGAAGCTCTGTATGCTGAACCATCAGCTGAGAATAATTTCCCTTGACTTGTCCAAGTTCAACATTTATGGCATCATTTTCACCTGTGAGAGCTTCAACCTGAAATGCAAGAGAAAATATTAATTATATATATATAATATATATTATATATATATATATATATATATATATATATATATATATGGATAAAAATATATATGTATAAAAAGGCAGCTACATCTGTCAATCTACACTTATTTCATGATGTAAAAAACAAAGTTCCCCTATTAATCTATCAACAGGTTTGAACTTGCAGCTCACCTGGGCAAGGAGTTGGTCTCTACTGTAAGTGGTTTCCCCTAATTTCTCCTTCAGGGTAGCATACTGAGTCTGAAGCTTGGCTAATTGCTCTTGAGTCTCACCCAAGATCTTATCTACAATTGCATCAGCCATGTTCTCTCCAGATATATTACCTCCAGATCCACCTGAAAGGAATCAAGAATTCAAGAATACACCTTAAAACTTAAAATCATATGTTGTTAATTAAGAACAGAATAGAAAATATCATTCCTTGATTTACATTTATAACACTTCTATAAAAAAATAAAAAATAAAAAGTTATGCAAGCAACTTGCTCAGCTGTTAAGCAAAGTAACTTACTTGCATTTGCTGGGGAAGTGGCATCATAGAAATTCATTGGAGATCCACCCTCAAAAGACTCTTCAATGGTACGATTGGTTGGTCTGTTATTCTCTAAAAGACACTGCTGCAGTTCTTCAAGTTGACTCTAATGGAACCAAAACCTTAGGTGTTATATAATGATCATTTGGACTCAGGGGATAGTATGTTTCAATCAACAAATAAGTATATGTAAAAATGCTAGGCATCATACTAACTCTAAGATCTATTAGCAGAGTTGACTGGGATTCTATTATGCTTTGATTTTCCAGTCCTGCCCTTGAAAGCGTTGATATCTCCTCCTCCAATCGATCTCTTTCCGCTGTGACAAGCGTGTATCGTCTGTGTAAGGATTCTTTCTGCAAGAGCAAGAACAACAAGGAGCTAATATAGATATCCTCTCCTATTCTACTTAATCACAGTGCCAGATGAATTATACAGCACAGTAAGCCTAGTAGTCTATACTCACTTTGGTGGACAACTCATCATTTGACTCCAGTAATTTATTCACTGTGTCTTGTAATGATGCATTTTCTGTTCTTAGAAGTTCAGACTCTTTTGCTAACCTATGCATCTGAAATTTCAAGATGTTTAAATAAATGTAAATTCATATGTATAATTTGTTATCTAAACATTTAAATTGTAAGATGCATTAAATCATTTCCATAACAAAATAAGCTGAGACTTTAAATAAATAAATTACCCCACCTGTTGCTGCACAAGGTCTTCTCCTGCCATCAGCTTTGCTTCCAATTCATCTCTGTACTGTTTCTGTTCTCTCACGTCAGACTGACACTTTTCAAGATCACTAGCTGTTATGAGAACAAGGGAATAAAAATCAACTTGTGCACTGTCATAAATTGATGGTAAGAACTCACTTCCACAAATCATTAAATATATAAATACAAATATTCTACAAATCATAACAAAAATATTACTAAAATTGAAGTACTTACACAACTTGGCTATCTTTTTATGCAACAAGACTGTGTTCACCTCTGCCTCTTGTTTCTCATTTTCCAAACCATGTATCTGCTGTTGCAATTTTTTTACTTCTTTTGTTTTGGCATTTAAAAGTTTTTGCATTCGAAATGGTGGACTCTGAGGATGAAACAAAAAAATATAATAACTAAGGCTATCTAC